AGCGTCGCTTGACACGTTGTGGGAGCCAGCAGCGTCGCTTGACACGTTGTGGGAGCCAGCAGCGTCGCTTGACACGTTGTGGGAGCCAGCAGCTTGACACGACACTTGACACGACACTCCACTTGACAGCTCCACTTCATTGTTGTCCAGTTGATCTGTAGAGTCATAAGTAGTTGGCTGTTTACATTGTATTGCTAAACTAAAAACAATTCATTCATGTTCCAGTAATCTATTACCTTGTTTTGAAATCAGCCTCAACCTGGAATCCATTGACTGGAGCAAAGACATACTTTTCCTCTTCATGTAAATTTCATTTTGGGAAAACACTGAAAAAACAGAATAGCGACATTAGTGCCAGCAATGAACCCTGAAGACATTGTTAAACCCCTTCACAGCTTACAGTTTCCAGTCTGTGGCTCCTGATGTGCTTCATTTTTATCAACTGGAAAGCATGACCCTGTGGACAAATCAAATGTTTACTGGAGAGCTCTTCAACTACAGCATAGACCCCACAAGAACATAGGCTTCAGTAATGCCAAAGTATTAAGTTAAAGGTTATCATCAACACCCAATATGACAAAAGTAGCGGTCAACCATTTTTGAATTGAAAAAAATATAAAGTTTGAAACTTAGAATTTACTAAATGTATTCAAATGAACTCAACTTAAAGAAAATATGCTTCGTTTTACTTTAGCCGTTGCATCTCAAATGTATTTAAAGTTCCAACATGTTTTGCTTCTTTGTTTTACTACATTAACAGCCTGTCCTCATTTAAGATTTTTACTTTTGAAGCCTTGCTCACTCCAAGTCATGTTAGATCAAAGATAAACCAACTTAAGCAGAGAGGTTACATTATAAATGATCAGAATGTGTTCTAAATCAGTTTAGAAATGCCAATTAGTTTTTCCACTTCTATTTTTTACTGTGCATAAAGATTAAACAAACCTAGTGACAGGTACAGTGACACTGATGCATCATGGAGCCCATAGAGCTAAACACCATCAGTGCAGGTGTTTCAAAAAAGTCATGGGACCAAACTAGGAAATGTTTTTAACTGATTGACTCACTAAACTGTTTAAAAACATATCTGTTAACATGATAGATCTGATAAAGTGCTGCATCTTTTGTGGTTTATTAAAACAATAATTTTGTAGCAGCCTAAAGGGAATAGGAATGCTTCAGCCATTGCATTTTAATTTAGTTTTCTCATCCTTTTTCCTCTCAGTTACCTCTTAACTTATCTGAATACACATTGATAGTTTTTCTGTGCTTATTGTTTTAAAAAGTAGTCCACAAGCATCCTCAGGTTGTACCTTTACATCATTTGCTGCCATTATATATATATATATATATATATAAATAAGTCAGATAATTTCAATCCAAAGATAAATATGAAATAGCTGCAATAAATTGACATTGTACTAGGTTATCAAATCAATTCAGTGTGTCAAATAAGCTGCCTGTGCTGTCTTTAAAGGTGCAGCAGGTGTCAGTATTGAGAGACAGTTTTAACTCAGTATCAATACAGTTTGGCATTGTGTCAAAACACTTCAAGATGCCTCTTTAACTCATCACTAATCAATTCTAACAACCTTAAAGCAAACTTATGAGGGAAAACTACAAACCTTGGAGCAAAAACATCAGAGGACAAAGCACCAGGATCCAGACACCTCCCATGATTCCTGCAACANAACATAGGCTTCAGTAATGCCAAAGTATTAAGTTAAAGGTTATCATCAACACCCAATACCAATATGACGAAAGTAGCGCTCAACCATTTGTGAATTGAAAAAAAAATATAAAGTTTGAAACTTAGAATTTACTAAATGTATTCAAATGAACTCAACTTTAAGAAAATATGCTTCGTTTTACTTTAGCCGTTGCATCTCAAATGTATTTTTGAAGCTTTCCACATGTTTTGCTTCTCTTATTGTACTACATTAACAGCCTGTCCTCATTTAAGATTTTTACTTTTGAAGCCTTGCTCACTCCAAGTCATGTTAGATCAAAGATAAACCAACTTAAGCAGAGGTTAGTGATTTTTTTAAGTCTCAAAGGTTACATTATAAATAATCAGAATGGCTTCTAAATCAGTTTAGAAATGCCAATTAGTTCTTCCATTTTTTACTGTGCATAAAAATTAATCAACAAACCTGGTGACGGGTACAGCAACACTGATGCATCATGGAGCCCATAGAGCTAAACACCATCAGTGCAGGTGTTTCAAAAAAGTCATGTGACCAAACTAGGAAATGTTTTTAACTGACTCACTAAACTGTTTAAAAACATATCTGTTAACATGATGGATCTGATAAAGTGCTGCATCTTTTTTGATTTATTAAAACAATTTTGTAGCAGCCTAAAAGGAATAGGAATGCTTCAGCCATTGCATTTTTAATTTAGTTTTCTCATCCTTTTTCCTCCAAGTACAAACTGTAAACTTTCATTCAGATAAGTTAAGAGGTAACTGATTGTTTTAATAAGATTTAAAAATGTAGTCCACAAGCATCCTCAGGTTATATCTTTACATTTACTTGCTGCCACTATATATCACATACTCTGAATCTAAAGATTAATATGAAATAACTTGATATTGTACTAGGTTATCAAAACAATTCAGTGTGTCAAATAAGCTGCCTGTGCCGTCTTTAAAGGTGCAGCAGGTGTCAGTATTGAGAGACAATTTTAATGCAGAATCAATACAGTTTGGCAATGTGTCAAAACACTTCAAGATGCCTCTTTAACTCATCATTAATCAAATCTAACAACCTTAAAGCAAACTTATGAGGGAAAACTACAAACCATGGAGCAAAAACATCAGAGGACAAAGCACCAGGATCCAGACACCTCCCATGATTCCAGCAACAAGTGAAGTTACAAACCAGACCTAAGGTTTAAATACAGTTCTCTGCAGGCTCCACAGCTGCAGATCATCAGCTCTTAATTGGTTCTGCTCTCAAGAAACTAAACTCACTCACTGTTTGCTGAGATCAGAAATGTATTTCCACAATTCACTGTTTTTGCTT